TGGTTTGTCTTGATGAAACTAAATGGAAGAACATGTTTGTTGAAATCTTAACTTCAGATGATAAAACCTCAGATTCTAAGATGTACCTGAAGTGTTTTTCCTCACCCAAGCAAAGTAGTAGTTGCTTTTTCTGTTGATAGAATGTATTCAGTTTTAGTAGCAATCTAGTATTAAATCTGATAGTTTCTAGTCTTCTAGCAGGCTTTGGTTTTATCAGTTCACTTGAGTAACAGTTGTTTGGTTTTGTGTTGGTTTTTTCTCTCCACTTCTAGTCTCCAAATGAGCGTGCTCGTTTGTATTTCCTCCTTGCCTGGTTCCACGCCATTATCCAAGAGCGCCTGCGCTATGCTCCATTGGGCTGGTCCAAGAAGTACGAGTTTGGAGAATCTGACCTGAGATCTGCCTGTGACACAGTGGATACCTGGCTGGATGATACAGCAAAGGCAAGTAGTGTTGTGTACTTAGGCACAGGTAAGAAATTACTTTGGATCTTCACTGAAACAGTCTGCTCTGGAAAAATTAAAGTTAAATGAGTAGGCACAAAAAATCTGTTGACAATTTAACGATTGTTTCCTGCTAATTATAGGGTCGCCAAAACATTTCCCCTGATAAGATCCCCTGGTCTGCACTGAAGACACTGATGGCCCAGTCTATCTATGGAGGTCGTATCGATAATGAATTTGATCAGCGTTTGTTGAACACTTTCTTGGAACGTCTGTTCACTACCTTAAGTTTTGACAGTGAATTCAAGCTGGCTTGCAAGGTTGATGGACACAAAGATATTCAGATGCCAGATGGAATCAGGTATCATTTTTTCCTTATCCTGATCTCTTATGTACAACTTTTTTTAATATTACAAAACTGCACACAAAAAAAACCCAAGCACATAACTTGTATTTCTGTGCTGTGTAAACGTCTGTCTCAGACAAAGCATTATCTTGCCATTCTAGCAGAGGAAACCCTTTAATGAATATTAAAACTCTGCCTTGCAGGCGTGAAGAGTTTGTCCAGTGGGTTGAGATGCTCCCAGATACACAAACACCATCATGGCTGGGACTGCCAAATAATGCGGAGAAAGTTCTTCTCACCACACAAGGTAAATCCAGAGCTTAGCAATGTCTTCCATAGAGTAGTACCAGGAAACCATTTTAAACTAAAAAGCAGAAGAGAAATACAAGTTTTGCTAAAGAGTAATAGCTTTCCCCTTCTCCCTCAACATAATTGGTTTTTGAGTAATCCAAAAACTGACCAGGAGCCTATGAATCAAAAAAAAGCCAGTTACATTTAGTTGTCCATATGGGAAGCTCCTGTCTTGATTCTGGAACGGTTTTTTTTTCAATAAAGTTTTATTATGAAAGCTTCTGGAGTCACCTACAGCTGGGCAGTTCTGAATCTTAGGTCTAGACAAGGAATAATGAAAATTCCTGTTTCTTGCATGTAGTGGGATGTTTTAACCTTGATGCCATTGCTTCTCTAACAGCAGCTCTTCTGTTTTAGGCATAGATATGATCAGTAAAATGCTGAAAATGCAGATGCTGGAGGATGAGGATGATCTGGCTTATGCAGAAACTGAGAAGAAGACAAGAACTGATTCTACATCAGATGGACGCCCAGCCTGGATGAGAACACTGCATACCACAGCCTCTAACTGGCTTCACCTTATCCCACAGACTCTAAACCATCTGAAGCGGACTGTGGAAAACATTAAAGTAAGAGCTATGTTTTATTTAATGTGGGCATAGGAAAAGCACAAGTTCAGGTGCATTGTGATTCGGAAGTACCAGCTGCACTGCTGAAGGGTCAATGGAACCTGTATTGACGCTGATTTTGAGTGCCATAGCCGTGTAATGACCTGCTAGGTTTCTTGAAATGATTCTGAAACCTGATTATGTCTTTTGGGTAGTATTTGAAGAAGTGCAATGGCAAACAGTCTAGCCAGGCAGTCTGCATTAGTTGTTCAGCTGTGACTTCTAGTTTCTTGCTTCTCCAAGGGAGAGGAGACTGTTGGTTGTAAAACAGTCTCTGCAATCACTTTCTGCACCACAGGCTGCATCTTCCTGTTCAGTGCTTGTAGTCACAGTGTTACTGCTCCATCCACCCGGAATTTGGGGGTTGTTTTTTGTAGCAGTTTTACAGCAAGAACTTTGCTCTGCAGCTTACTTTGAATGTTTTGACCATCAGGATCCATTGTTCCGGTTCTTTGAGAGAGAGGTGAAAATGGGAGCTAAGCTGCTCCAGGATGTTCGTCAGGACCTGGCAGATGTGGTTCAAGTGTGTGAAGGGAAAAAGAAACAAACCAACTATTTGCGTACACTGATAAATGAGCTGGTGAAAGGTATGGCAATTCAAGCTAGCTACTCCCAAGAAGCAAAGGGCTCCCTTTGCTTCTTGCACTCTGTAAGAGGCTGCTGTGGTCAGCAGCTAAAAAAAAAAAACTTAAAAAAAAAAAAAAATATATATATATATTTTAGAAAAAATGTCTATAGACTTTGTCATTTTACACAAGTAATACTTAAATTTGAGCATAAAATTCCCATTGGCTTGATATGAGATTTCAAGCTGAGGTTGATAATAGCCTAATAATTAGGCTATAATCATAATATAATAGTTTGGCTTTAATAGTAATATATTAGGCTTTTTTGTACAATTTATATTAGCAGCTTAATTTCTAGGCTGAAATCTTACTAAATTCTCTCAATTTCTGACTTGGGACAGAACAAAGTTATTTATACCACCAAATGAGCAGTATTGGCCCCATAAAATCTAGAAAATGTTTAGGTTCTCTGAATTTCTATTTAAAGATTGTACATACATATGGAATTTTCAGACATGCTGCATGTTGTAATACATGGCGAATTGAACAAAAACATTTTCTGAAACACAGATAACTTGACTTCCTCAGTTTTTTATAAAGAACTCAAATCTTCATGCAGAGCTGAAAATTAGATCTTGCAGTAAAAAGCTGTGTGTAACTGCAGCTGCTCTTGAAGGGTTTCTGTAAGTGGGTGGCATTTTAAATACAAAGTAGACCTGGAAGCCATTTGCTCTGTAATCTTTGAAAGTGCTTTCACTTAATGAGGGGGTCTTTTAAAATAGAGGTTAATATTCCAGTCCAAGTCTTCAAAGTTTCAATATAGTGTGTAATTTCAACCTGTATACGAACAAAACTTAATTCTAATCGTATCTTTGTAGGTATTTTGCCTCGTAGCTGGTCTCATTACACAGTGCCAGCTGGTATGACTGTTATCCAGTGGGTGTCTGACTTCAGTGAGCGAATTAAACAGCTCCAGAATATTTCCCAGGCAGCTGCATCTGGTGGAGCAAAAGAGCTGAAGGTACCTTTTGCTGACTTCTTGGGGTTATTGGTGGAGCTATGTAACTGTTTTCTGGAGTCTTCAGGACTTCTAAATAGCTCCTCAGTCAATGAACTTGAGTCAGTGTTCTGTGAAATGTCTGTAAATACTGCTGAGCGTCTCCTGATCGCAGCATGATGAGGCTTAGCAGGGTAGCTGTGCACAGAGATCAGAGGGAGCCATTAGTATTGTGGAACAGTAGGAGGCAAAGCCTTAGAGCAAAAAGCATCTTAGCAGTTACACTGTGTTCCAGTAGTAGCAGGAACATTTTATGTAAATGGATTGCCAAAGTATTTATAATAGTCGTTAATTAATACTGCAGCTGAAATAGTTTTTTCCCTGTATTTTCCTCCCTTAAATAGAACATCCACGTGTGCCTGGGTGGTCTGTTTGTACCAGAGGCATATATTACTGCTACAAGACAATATGTTGCCCAAGCAAACAGTTGGTCCCTTGAAGAACTCTGTCTTGAGGTCAATGTTACAACTACCCAGAACGCAGTCCTGGATGCCTGCAGCTTTGGAGTCACAGGTAAACTTAGCTGAAGGAAGACATTCCTCTGAAATGTCTTCAGAAGCTTCTGGTATTAAATGGGCTGTGTCAAATGAAAAAGATGCTCTTGTTGAAAAAGTTAATACACACTGTCTGAAAGTATTTTCAGATGAGTTTGACATTAGTGATTAGGGAAGTACTTCCAATGCTAATAAATCTCAAGACCAGGATCAGTATATATTGAAGTGGTATTGCATAGTGTGTCACCTACAACCTCTTCATTTTGCAGTATGAAACACTTCACATTTAGTGGACTTAGCCCTTAAATGATACAGAGGGAGACAGCCTTTGGATGTATGAAAGCTCTTAGAACTCTAAACTGCATTGCAATTTGCAGGTCTGAAACTTCAGGGAGCTACGTGCAGTAACAACAAGCTGTCACTTTCGAATGCTATTTCAACTGTCCTGCCCATTACACAGCTTCGCTGGATCAAGCAGACAAATGCTGATAAAAAAGCAAATGTTGTAAGTATTGGTGAAAATATCTAGGTATCCCTAGCAATTTTTTTCCTAAGGCTTTATGGATACTTGTACTGGGCACAACAAATGAAATTGGTGTTCTCTAATTGCTCTTGGTGTCAACTGGCATCTGATTTCAGGGCTAGCAGCAAACAGACCTAGTGCTGAATGTGTCTTTCCTTTGTAGATAGATAAAAAGGAGAGACATCCAAAAATGCTGTTCAAGTCAAAACTCAAATTTGTATTTATAGCAGCATCTGTGAATTTATTAAGTCTTGGGGTTTTTCCTCATATTTTGAGTATTGAGTTATCTGAGACTGAATTCCCATCTCATTGGTACCATGTAGTGTTACAGAAACCTGTGACATTCTTCAGCTGTCTTACAGAACTCTCCTACATTCATGTTTTTCCCCAGGTTACTTTACCAGTTTATCTGAACTTCACTCGTGCTGATCTGATTTTCACCGTTGACTTTGAAATAGCCACCAAGGAAGATCCCCGCAGCTTCTATGAACGTGGTGTTGCAGTTCTCTGCACTGAGTGAACAAATTTATTTTCACTGGTTAATGCTATAGTAAGTGTCAGTCTTCTATGTAGTGCTCACCTGTGCTTTTGTAATCAGGGTAGGTTAGCAGATGGATTTGTGTCAGGTTGGCTGGAAAGGTGACGGTGCAGTGGGAAGCTGATAGGCCAGAGAGATTTCTTTGAAGGAAGGTTGAATGGGATTTTTAGAGGGTTATTGGTAGATGTGATATTTGATGGATTATGTTACATTAAATAAAATATACAGCAAAAATTTTGACCATCTATTTCTGTTAATCTAATTTTTAGTGATGATTTTGTTCTAGAAAACCTATACCCATGATCTTTCCAGAGAATAGCTATGAATTGCTCTTCAAGCTAACCTCCAGTAACAGGAACCTTGGAATGTAAGTCTGTAGTGCAGTAAGACACAAAACCTAATGTAAGTCTGTAGTGCAGTAAGACACAAAACCTGGTATCTGCTGTGACAATTCAGGCCATTGTATTAATCAGTTGCAATGGACTGGATCTTACTTGAAGTAACCTGCTGCAATGCATTGAGAAACTGGAGCATCCTGAACTGAACTTTCTTGTCCTATTGACCACAGAGCTTCCTCTTTCTCAAACTGCTTTTATGGTGAAATATGTTTCCAGATTTATGTCTCAGTAACCCAAGAGGAGGCTATTAAATGCTTACACAAGGAGTTACAGTATTATTTGAGACTCTCCATGTGACTAGCTGTTACTAAATTAGGGAAGCTTAGACTTCCTGCTAATTTCTTGGGTTGCTGTAATGGTTTGGGCATTTGCTTGCTTTTTCTGATCCTGAATTCGTTGGCTAAGCATTTCTACCTTTCTGACCATCCTCTCAGAACAGCTGTCATCTCTGACAGTGGCTGAAGTCAAGTATTCAAAGATGTGTATGAAGAATGCGGGTACACAGCTTTCTAATCTCCAAATGGAAATCTTGGGAGCCCCTTCTCTCACTGATTGCTCATATGAAAGCAGGGACTTTCATCAGCTCTAGTATTTTTCTGTGATAAGGGGTTCCATTGTACAAGCTTGTCCTGGGAGGAAAAATTGCTATCTCAGCCTGCCTCACATACTTGTTTTGGTCAATGCTTGCTGTTTGCTAAAAGAGAATTCTGATGTCTGCCCTCTCCTGCAAAATTAACTATTTTGCAGAGTTAATCCCTGAGATAGAACTGTCCTGGTTTTGTTTCCTTACAAAGTGTGAATCCCAGATCAGTGAATTGTGTGCAGTTTAATAATCTTTGTGCAGTTCTTACCCGTTTGTGAGAAACGGAGATAAGAGCTACATGCATCATGATCCAATATAAGTTGTAACTATAATGCCTTTGCTTTGTTTCAGCCTCTATGAGAGACTTTGCTTTCCTGCACCAGAGCATGTCTGGAACTGGTATCACTGCCTCCAGCAGAGTTTCAATTATGTAGTACAGAAAAAAGCACCTCCTTCTGGCAGCATGCTCTGGGTACCAGCTGCAGTATGAAGTATTAGCTTAGATCAAGAGCTGGCTGTTGATCCACTGAGCATGCACCTTCCTTTCAGCAGCTGCTGTTTGTGCCCAGCTCACAGACCTGGGTTGTGGTACCACTTACAGCTACTATTAAAACGCTGCCTAAACCAGTTCCACTTATCAGCAAATGCTGATGGGGAGATCAAGAATCTCAACTATCCTAGAGCTTGAGCTTCCCAAACTCTTCAGCTCTTTTAAGTTAACTTCTGCATTAGGCCTGAATTAACAAAAGGTGTAATTTCAGGTCACAGGTTAATCCACACACAGCTGGGTTCTCATACTGAATAAATACATTCCAATGAGTAGATAGTGTCCCTTGTGGCTTACCTTTGCACTTACTCCTTCCTGTCATGTTTTTTCCATGCTGTGTGAAACAGCTGCTTTAAGTGAAATCTTTGGGTGAGTTTAGGGTTTTTGACTGCAGTTTGAAAGTCAGGGGGTTCAGTTTTATTTAGCCTCAGCTGATGGGGCTGAGAGCTAGAGTGTCTAATAGCTAGGACTTAAAATGAGGGTCTTGGCTGCCTCACAATGTTGTATTCTTAAGCTTTTCACACATCTTCATTCCAGAGAGAGCTGTAGCCTAGTTGCAGTACACACAAATCTATAGCTGCAAGTGATTGGTTGTTGGTTTGTTTGGGGTTTTTTCAATTAACTTCACAGTTTTCACTGCAGCAATCTTTGCCTGTGGACAAGTCAAGGGGCAACCACAATAGCTTGTGTCTTGGAGCAAAGGCCTCTGAAACTTACTGTTTAACCACGTGTTCCAGGCTGATTAAAAAACATTTCCAGCTGAGGGAATGAAAGAAAATAAAAGTATGAAAGAAAAGTTGCTTTAATAAAATAAATACACAGGCGGAAGGGTACAACGCTAGCAGTTAAATAATACTGAGTGGCTTTCCATCCTCTGAAAGAAACTGGAAACTAAAAATCTCTGCCAGTTGTACAAAACAAATGCTTGCACAAGTTGCTGGTACTAACATCTTTCAAGCCATCATTATCCTTTCATAGTTAGTATTTTCCATTCTACACAAATGGAATACCCAGATTCTAGACCTGATTAAAGAAATTACTGTACAGGAAAGGAAGATCAGATACACAGTTTTTGCTTTCTAACTGGCCTCCCATCTGTGGGCACCATTCCTGCAGCTCCTGAATGATTGCTTTCACTAAGCAGCTGTGAGCTAATGTGTTACCCCACTGTAAACACTATTCTGGCAGCTACACAGAAACTGCCCAAAACATTGGTCAAACGAGGAAGGAGCAGCTGTGTTAACGGCAACTAGACAATTTCTCCCCCTTTGAAGGAGAAGATAAATGATGGATTGCCAGTAGTTGCAGTCAGTTCAGTGTGATGCAATTCAGCTGTTGATAATCAAACCTGTGTGTTCACCACTCAGAGGGAGGAGCAGGAACCCAACATGACAAGAAGCAGGTGCCAGACAAGCCATAGCTGTTGGGGGCTAACTGCAGCCTAGGGGTCATTCTTCTTTCTCTCCTGACAAACCCTTGTCAGTGTTGGTGAAGTTTCAGTGTAACTGAGCAGCTGCCTCCAGGTACTGCACACAGGAGCTGGGGCTGGTGCTTCCAGAGGCCCTGGTACCAAGCTTGTCTGTCATGCTGTGGATATTCCTTTGCTAGTGTTCAGTGGAATTGCCACACAGCTTGTTTACGTTTTCCAGGTGGATCTCAGAGCTTACTGTACAGTGCACTGCATTTGTAACAGGCTTGAGGCAGCCTGTTTAGTTCAGGTACACTCTGGAAAGGAAATCTACCAGAGTGATCGTTCAGAACAGTTTGTCCAATGATTTATTCATTCCTTAGATTAAGTTGCACGGAATTTCTTTATCTTTAGTTTTTCACTAGCACTCTCTGGCACAGGAATCCCTTGTTTTCTTTTAATTATGGGCTGCTCGGCCGTTGTGCCATCACGATGAGCTGGGAGCAGGGGCTGTGGAGCAGCGACAAGGATCGCAGGGAGATCCGCGGGGACTGAAGGGTTAACAGCCCTCGGTAAGGTGTGCTCAGGTGTCAGCCCCGTGGGGGTAAATGCTTCTGTGGCCAGAGGCGGCTCCGGTGACTGGGACAGCTCCTTCTCGAGGCTGGGAGGCTCCAGGGCTGCTCTACAGTCATTTACTGCCTGAATTTCTCTGACATTTGGAGAATAAGGGAAGGATTCTTCATCTTCTGAAGTATCAGCATCCTCCAGAGGTGCTGCTTTTGAGGCGCTGTTTCTCCGTGGTGCAGCTTTTATACCACAGTCAGTGTGAACAGATGCATCTTCTGAATCACCATCATAAGGATCTAAAAACTAGAATAAACATCTCTAAACATGGTGGATGATTATTTGTCCCTAAAAAAAAAAAAAAAACACCAAACAAGATGCAACATACAATGGACTTTAAAATCCCTTTCAACCTAAGTCACAGACTTATTGTGGAAGCTTTTCTATCCACACACTCCTACCTCTATTTTAGTTTTTGGATGCTACACCAAGAACTGTGTAATACCCAAAACCTACTTGTAGTCCTCTGGTTTCCTTTGCTTTTTTGGGTCCTCCAGCAAGTGGGTTAGGCACAACCTATTTAAGAGAAGTTAACATAGGCTTATAAGGCAGTTTCCCATAAGTTACCAAATGAAAAACAGAGCAGGTGGAAATCCTAGTGAAGAGGAAGCCAGATTATCACTTGGCTAAAAGACAATAAAAAATGTATCTCAGTCTAATTTTTAAAGGTTTGGTAAAGTTAACCTAAAAGAGAGCTAGGGTAAGTCTTATTGCCCTTAAAGCGTTGCACTAAAGAGAACAATGAGTAATTACATACCACCAGAAAAATAAACCAAACCAGCACTTAAATAATAGTAGTCAGATTACAATTTAGAGTTTAGAGACCTTCCCTCCCACTCTGGTCCCTTTTTGTTCTTTCACATGGGGATGATTTGAAATCCTGAAATAGTGCTTAGAGTCTGGGTCTAGTAATAAAAAAAAAAGTCATGTAGGGAGTAGTTCTAAAGGGAGTCCTTTAGAAAGCAAACCCCAGGTACCCAGTCTCACAAAGGGAAAGAAGTTAACAGCAAGGAAAGTGGGAAAGTTCTTCTTGAAAAGGACCTACCACAGGTGCTCAGAGAACACCTTGGCAGTCAGTGCCTTGCTGCTTCCAGTGGGAAGGAGGAGAACTGAGCACAGCTGAGACAAAGAAGGGCACAGGAATCTGGGCTCAACAGAAAACCAGAGGCTTTATCAGAGGAGCTGAAGTCCAAGCCAATTTGTGACCGTGTATTCTTATGTTGCTTCAAGGACAGAGACCCCCACAAAGCCCTTCTGCTTCTCCAAAGAGCAGAGAAATCCTCAGTCCTGGCACCTGCCTCAGCACCCTTGGTGAGAGCAGCCAGCTCTTTCTTCAGGCTGGGATCTGTGCAAGCTCCCCTTCCACCCTGCCCAGCCATCACACAGCTGGACTTCCAGCCTGGTTTCTCCCAGAACAGATAACTCCAGCCTTGCCCTGACCTTTCTGGAAGGTGAACTGGTGTCAGACTCACAGCAGGCAGCTTCTCCAAGTCACAAAGCATGGTGATTCACATAGACCAACAGTGAGCATCAATTCCAACAAGTTATACCCGCAAATTAAGTATTTTGTTCTCCACTCCAGCATCAGGTCTTTTTTTCATCAGCACTAAATGCACTGGTTTGACAGAACAATGTTCAAGAAGTCACCAGTATCCATAACTAATTGCCACAGCAACACAGCTGCTCTTAATCTCCTCCAAAAGGGACAGTCAGAAGGTAGAGGTTCTCCACCCAGAGCTGTAGAAATCCCACTGGACCAGAGCTGCTGAAAGTCAATCACCAGGAACAGCTCAGGCCAGCATTTTCTTAGCATTTGTCTGCCTAAAACACTGTATCTTTCCTGCCTCATCCTCCTAGAATCAACTTTAGAAAAGTTTATAACAGTTGTAAGAAAGAGCCAGATGGAAAGGAGAGTATTGGGCTTGAGGTTGCTTTGGGTTTTTTGCAGTTACAAAATCAACAACCCCACAACGTGCCTGCGATGCTCCCTACTGAGGCTGAAGGAAGAGTTGGATACACATCAGGGAATCCCATCACCATCAGAACACTTCAGAGTCAGTCCTTACCTCTGCCCTGGATTCAGACTCAGACTCTGTGCTTGACTCCACTGTGCACTTCTGCTGCAGAGGAGGAAAGGAAAGAAATTCCACTCAAAGTAGAAGTTACTGCTGCTTCAGGCTGAAGCTTAATTTCTAGTACCAGCTGCAGGTGCTGAGTTTCTCCAAAGCTTCCCCATCTGAAGCCAGCATGTCTCCCCAAATATCCCACAGCTGTGGTGCTGGTTGGGTTGTGCAAGTGAGACATAAGGGGAAAATAGAAGCCTCTCTCATCACTCCTCATCCCTAAAACCACAAAGGGAAGCAGTCCAGCACATGCCTTGTACTTGCTAAGAATGGTTACTCCAGGCTTGTGAGTAACTTTACAAAACATTTTTTAGTTTGCACTGTGGTTCTGATTGTTTCTTTGCATTTGGTAACCCTACAGCTCTGAAATGTAACTGCAGATGAATGACTCAAAACACCCTCATTTTTTCTAAAGCTCTTGCTTAGAAAGAGACCTTACAAACAAACACCTCCCCTAGTCCCCAGAGGGTAGCACAGAAGTGGAGGGAAGTTCCCTCCTTGCCTCCCATTTAAATTAATTCATCCACACCTGTTCTTCATGCAGCAGTCTTTCCCAGCCCAGGTAGCTGCACCATCAGGCCAAGGGCAAACCAACAAACACTTTCAGGATTGTATTTCAGTAGGCAGGTAGAGAAGCAGCAATTTAAAACCTTACCATGTATTTTCGTGCCAGTCTTTCCATGCAGTCTGGGCTTTTAACAGAATCTTCCTTTTCCTGAGCATCTACTGAATCAGGTAGAGGGTAGGAGAGCACATTTGAGAAACCTTCTCTGAGATACAATGCCCAGACATGACTACTCCCTTTATGCTAGAAGAGTTGATCAGTCCTTCACATAGTCAATCAAAGGCAGCTTCTGTTTAAAAATAAATCAGAAGCAGCCACTGTCTTCTACCTTAACAAGATTTCATTCATTGTTCCTTCATTCAGAATGAGGAAAATATAACCTTTTTAATGAAGCTATACAAGACCATTGAGGGTTTTTTTTTCCTTTTATTTTAGGCACTGCAAGTTTTCTCAACCCTTAAATACGCATTAGTGCTGAAGATACCCAACCAGACTTGAGAGGGATAAATGCAAAGCTGTGCAATAAGCCAGCCCCCTGTTCCAGTTCCCCACTCCCAAAATTCAGTCCCTGTACACTCAGACTTCCCCATCCCCCCGTTCAGGGCTCTGTTACAGGGGCTCCCTCCCTTCCATACCCTCCATGGTCTGCCCAGCCTCCCTCCTCTTCCTCCGCTGCTGCCTCTTCCCAGCTGATGCCATCCCTGCCCCAGCACTCCCGCCTCTCCGGGTTTATGGGCACCTCCACCCTGCTCAACCTCCTCCACCTGGAGAGCTGCTCCTGCCAAAAAAAGGGAATTAAGCAAGAAAACTCGAGAGTGAAACCCTCCTGTGAAAGAAAGGCCTTTGTGCCACTGCAAGGCTCCAGGCTGTGCTGACTCTGTGGGGCCTGCACTCCTTTAGTCACTATGTTTTCCATGTGCATATAATATACATACACATATATTATGTGTATATTTAAAAGGAAATGTATGCACACACATCCAGTTTGCAAGGCCTGGTGGCCAGGGATGTGAGACCCCCTCTGCTCTCACCAGTTTATTTTCTGGAGCCCCATTTCCTTCACAGAACCCCCAGGTCGACAGAAGAGCCAACAGGCAAAGGGAACCCTCTCTTCACCCCTGTTCCCTCCAGAGGCAGCCAGGGTGACCAAGGATGTTTCCTCCTGTGATCTGCTGGAGCAGATGATCTCCCCTGTAGCAGGGGGACAGATGTAGCTGGACACACAAAGCTTTCTGAGCATCTTCTTAATCACTTCCAATCCAGCACAGCAATTTTACTGTTTTTAAATACCAGGAACAGATTTTTTCACAGTTACCAGAGAATTGTGGCTCAGGTCTGTTTTCTGTTTTTCACAAAGAAGCAGATCTGATTTGGCCTTTCAAAAGCCACATTTCCATTCCCTTTATTTTTATAGGAAATGAGGAACTATCTTTCCTTTTTTTCCAAATCAAATTCCTTTTCTTCCCATTATCTCTTTCCTTGCTGGCTTTCTTGCATCTTTTTGCACAGTGCAGAAGGTACTACTGTATAAAAACCTCAGCAAAACAAACATATCACTCTAAAGCCACCAGTGGGTTGTTGCTCTGAAAAGGCACCAGGAACAAGTCCCAGTGGGGGTGACAGTGACAGGAGCTGTACCAGGAGCAGCTCACAAGCCTTCACTCCATTTCTGCCTCCAGCTGAGCTAGACCCTGTTGCTTACACCTTTTTTCTTCCCTGACATCCACCTTTTCATCTCCTTACCTTCCCCACCCAGACTAAAACCATCTGATAATTATTCCTCTTCAGAATCTCCAACCATTTTCAAAACATAGCAACCAAGAATCTCACTCACCACCCCGCAGCACCTCCCACGGCTGAAGTGGAGCTCAGGAGGCTGTGTTAGTGCCTGCAGCACCAGCTGAGCTCAATGAGCACAAATGACCATCATGCTTCACCCAAATACACGGCTGGGAGTCCTTACTCCCATAAAAGGCTGCCCAAAATTAGTTAGGGATTCTTTACAGGCAGCAGCTGTTAGCAGCAAGGATCCAGGCTCCAGGGACTGCTTGGTCTGTGAGGGGCTGCAAGGGACAGCACAGCCCGAGGCTCCCAGAGCACAGCTACAGTCACACAGCAGCATCCCAAGGGAGATCTCAGGTGTCCCCCTCCCAGGGCACACAGGTGACACCACTGCCCTGTGGCTGCAGTGCGAGCGAGGAGGTGGCCCGAGGGTCCCAGAGGTACAGCAAGGCTCGCTCCAGGGTTCTTCCCATCATTTCCCACTGCCCAGTGCTTGCTTCTCCTTGTCACTCTGGGCCCTGCACAGATCTTGTGTCAGCCCCAGCAAGCTCTGATTTCCCTTGAGTCCAGGCTTTCTTATGGTCTGGCTGCTCAGTGTAATGCAGGGAATGACTCAAAAATACCCAACACGTTCTCAGGGCAAGAAATACTGGAGATAACATGCAAGTTTCACCTCAATTATTCTCTTAAATTTGTTTTCAATAGAGGTTAAGACTTGTGCCATCACTGACCAAGTGGAAAAATCTTTAGCATTATCACTGTAAATTTTTAAATCCCAGTGTTACAAACTACAAGATATTTTCACCATTTTTTACATATTATGGAAGATCTTGTAGAATTGATTTTAGTCACAAGTCACACATACCTTAGTTTTGATGCAGTACTATTGAATCTGATTTTTTGACACTGAGGTCTTGAAGCAATAACCTAAAGCTTCCTGAAGTCTGCTCTCCTGATAACTTTTAAGACTGAACATCACAGAAGGAAGCCTTTTCCTCCCAATCATTGCTTCTGTCACCCACACATCAAACTGAAAGTCAATAGTAGTGCACATACCAGAAACTGCTAACTCCCTTTCTGCAGCTGGTTTGATGCCACGCTTGTTGCAATAGCAGCAGTGCATCCATCACTGTGAGGGCGGTGATGGGACAGACATCTCACCCAGGCTGAGCAAACAGCTCCTGCCGAGGCACAGGACACTTGAGATCAAAGCACGCCTCACACAGTCCCCAGGCAGGGCTGTGGGGGAACCACAGCTCCTGCCTCACCAGCCAAGGAAAGATGTCCTTGCTTTGACAGTGCTGCTTTCACTGACATGCAGACATCAGTCTCTTCTGCAGACTTTTATGAGGTAACCATAAAGTGAAATGATTTTGAACATTTCATATCACAATACAGAATGTGAGGTGTGGAACACAAATGCCCCACTTGTTACATTCAGCTTTCAGCAGCTGATTTCTGTATCCATCTTCTTGTTTCTCATCTTTGAGGAAGACTTCAGATTTGGAGCCAATGTGATCACCTCTGTCTAGTGAGCTGACATATAGGAACACCAGCTTGAATTCCTCAGCTTGCAGTGTATGCACAAAACAGGGGCTGGCCTCTCCCCTCCCCGAGTGTTGCTTTAGAATAAACATCTTCTAAACCACAACTTGTGCAAGTTACTGTGAATTAGCATGCATGAAACTGAGTTTAGGTACCTGTGAAATAAGTTAGGACCAGAAACTCCAACTTTTCACATTACTACAGCAAGAACATCCAACACACCATTGTCATATATTATTTTTTTGTATTTTATTTTATATTTAATATACTTTATTTTCTTATATTTAGTATTATTATTATTTAATATGTCAATATAATTATTTTACTCTGGGGAACTTGTGTATCCTGGAGCAGAAATGGACACGGGAAACAAGCAGGGTGAGCAGATCGATTTCCCTTAAACCCCTCCTCCTCTCAAATCAGTTCACTGAATTTAAGACCTTGTACCAAATACACAATCTGCCTGAAGTCAACATAACGGCCCCCCCCACAAGCACCTTGGGCACGTTGCTGGATGGAGCTGCTTATTAAGAATTCTCTTTGCTACTCCAAGACAAAGGCCAAGGAACACAGAAAGCAGCACAACCACACCTAGTTTTCCCTGGCAGGTTGTTGTGATGTACTGGCAACTTCTCAGGTAAAAACTTGATCACCTCCCAGCAGCACCACGAACAGGGCTGCAGCTCCACTCACCCAGACTTCAGAACAATTGCTGAACCATCCACATGAATTATAAATCACTGTTCCAGAGCCCCTTCCTGCTCTGGTGTGGCACTGGTTTTGTAGTGGGATCACCAAGCATACTCTATTCATTATACATTGAGGGCAGCAGCTGGAGCTCAGGACTCAGAGCAGCAACTCATGTGGGCAGGGGCAGAGCAGTTTTGTTTCAGTGTGAACAGAAAAGTCAGTGACACGGCTCAATTCTTAACACTTTTATTCTTACAGTTCTAGGTTTGAACTGTACATGCAGAGTTGCATAAGTCACAATAGAGATTTACAGTGGATTCTATTCTATGGTAGAGTGCAATCCAGAATCCTTGAACAGTATAAAAAACAACTTTAAACATCAAGACCTTGTTAGGAGCAGAAGGATTAAAGCTTCCCCAAGAGATTCAGCTCTCCTAGATACCTAGTTACTAGGTACTGTATGTTAGACACTTAAGAGTTGAAGAGCTGTGTAACACTAAACAAACTTGAACACCCCGATGTCTTCCCATTAACGTCTTTCCACATTTCTGGCAATTAAGAATAAGTCAAAAACCCTGCCACCTGCAACCAGCTAATACAGACAAAAATAACTACTCCTCACTTGCCTGTTTAGGGTTGTACAGTGTTAAAGAAAATATTCCCTCAATGGCATTTTTATCTCACATCAGCTGAAAAAGCAATGTAACAAAAATAAAGGTATAACATCTTCGAAAATAAATATAAAGAGGGAATGCAGACAAAGTGTCAAAGATTTTTTTTGGCAGGTAACATTCATAATATACAAAATATAACTTATTCATATTAGCCAAGGAAACATTCATGAGTTCCTGTAAACTGGTTTAATCCACCTCCTCCATGCGTGATGTGTCATCATCTCCTTCAAGAGGTGGCATCTCCTCAGTGACTGCTGGACTGGCTTCTTCTGCAGCAGTGTCATCTTCATCGATGCCTGTGCAGGAAACAAAAACCCATCAATGCTGACAGCTCAATTCAAACTTTTCATCTCAGTACTTCAGCCACCTGAGGGTTCATTTTCCACACTACCAAGCAGGACCAAGACTGGTACACCCCAAGTTCACAGGAGTCAGGACAGATTTGGCAACTTACCCAGCCCAAGTTTGATCATTCTATAAATGCGGTTGGCATGTGTCTGAGGATCTTCTAAGCTGAAGCCAGAGGACAGGAGTGCTGTCTCGTACAGCAAGATGACAAGATCCTTCACAGATTTGTCATTCTTATCGGCCTCTGCTTTCTGCCTCAGTGTTTCAATGATGGAATGATCAGGATTAATCTCCAGGTGTTTCTTTGCTGCCATGTATCCCATTGTGGAGTTGTCCCTTAATGCCTGCGCTTTCATGATCCTCTCCATGTTGGCAGTCCAGCCATAGGTACTTGTTACAATGCAGCATGGAGAAGTAACTAAACGATTGGACACAACAACCTGCAGAGGGAATACAAAGCACAGGTTTGCAATTAAAGCATTTCAACAAGTACAATTGATTTACCCCACATTGATTTTAGATTTGACTTTTACACACAAGTAAACCAAGCACTACTTTTACCTTTTCCACCTTCTTTTCAAGGATATCTTTCATTATCTTGCAAAGATTTTCAAACTTTGCTTTCTTCTCCTCCTGTTTCTTTTTCTCTTCCTCATCTTCTGGAAGCTCCAAACCCTCTTTTGTTACAGAAACCAGGGTCTTGCCTTCAAATTCCTTCAGCTGCTGCACACAGTATTCATCAATAGGCTCAATCATGTAGATCACTTCCAGCCCA